GGGGTTTGTGGGAGGGGGCTGCTGACTGTCCAGATGTAAGGTGTTTTGTGTGTCACTGCTATGCTTTGAAGTTCTTGGTGTTGCTCTATGAGAGGACATCGCCCCCTGGTGCTCATGAGGTGTATGTGCAGAACAATAAATTGCAAATGAACAACCACAAATTGTCATCACTCTTGACCTTCTGCTTTTGTAGATGGGTGCACCTACCTGACTACCATCTGGGTTACTTCCTCTAGTCTGTAAGCAACCTCAAACCATTCCACTAGATAAGGGGAATTACCTTTTCTTTATTTATTGAAAATTTCTTTTTTCTACCCACATGTTTGACCTGACTCTGTGTTCCCCAAAAGAGACAGACCACAAAGCAAGAGAAATGGTAAGATGTGAACTTGATGGGGAAAGTTCAGCTTTCAAACCATGAACATTGGTGTGTGTGTGGAGGGGGTGGTTGGATGGTGTCTGTTTCTGTATGCACCTATGTATATGCACACATAAGCATATGTATGTATGTATGTGCCAGTATGCTGATCTTCACACAAACAGAGGCCAGAGGTTGACAGCAGGTTTCTTTCTCTCCTGCCATTCGCTCTACTTTTTGAAACAGTTCTCTCACTAGACCCAAAGCTCACCATTTAAGCTAGGCTGGTTGGCCAAAACCTCCCAAGAATCCCCCTGTCTCCATTCCCCCAATGCAGGGGTTACAGGTGCATGCCACCATGACCAGGTGTTTCATGGATGTTGGGACTCCAACTCAGATTCTCAGACTCACGCAGCAAGCACTTACCCAGTCAGCCATTTCCCCAGCCATGAGTACTGGCTTAAAAGTCCCTTCACTTAGTGGATGTTTTAATCATTTGAAAGCAGTTTTGTCTTCAAATAAATGTTTATTTTTGAGCATTCCAACACTGACGAGAACACAGTAAGAAGGAAACACAGGGCCTCCTTTGTCACAAAGCTGTCTCCATCTCTGATATCCCACAGGGTGTGGCCTTCTCAGAAGCCAGCCTTGTTTTCCCACAGACCCCAGTCTTAGGAAGTCAGAATCCAGCAGAATCCAGGAGCCCCACTCTGGGATGAGGCTCATGATTTTGCGAAGTGACTTGAATGTGAACTGGAAACCCCACATTCTGATTTCATACAGATGAACACTGGGACGGAATACTGCCGGGCACATGTTAGTAAAACTACGTGTGTGTGAAGAAATTTTATTTCAATGGGAATTTATAGAGGGAAGTCAGTACTAGAAGAACAGTGATTAGCTTGCTTTTTACAGAACACAGAGCACCCAGAGATTAAGAACACTTTAATGCCAAAGAGGAAACATTTGTTGAAAAGTTTCTAGAATCAGTCTCCTTGGATGGGCTGTTGGGAGGGCAGAGTTCAAATGCTACTATTCGCTCCTCCATATCTCAGCTGGGAATGAATGAGTGAATCTCCTTCTCGAATTCCAAGAGACAGAGACACTTGGAGCTCTTCAGGGACCTACTATGTGCAAAAGCCCTTCACTAAACATTAACAAGAAGAGAACACATCCTTCATAGAAGATGACTCACTGGGGACATGTGCTGTGGGGAATAGATACATGATTTCTAAAAAGCTGTAGAGACATTTTGATGTTCTGAGGAAATTTACAATTAAATCAGATATTAAAATTGTGTAAGACTAACTGTTGCCAGGTATCAATTATGCATCCTGCCAGACAGTCCATGGAAGTCATCCCGGAACTGACATAAATGTTACATGTGGTTCTGGAAGTCTTTTTCAGTCCAGTTAAAGGCATTTATCACATCAGCCCCCAAACTAAAGAGATGGGAGATGATGCTCGTACATGGTCTTGATTTACAAAAGAAATGATACTTAGATATGGAACTATTTTGACTTCTTCCATTTTTTTCTTCTAGGAAAATACTGGCTTGTTGGAATGTATGCATGTGTGTGTGTGCACGTGCACACGGGTCCTCACAGCCTTGTGCTGGGAACATAGGAAGGACAAGGGCTATTCATGGAAGAGGAAGGGGTTATATTTTTGAAACATGAACATGAAGCCACAATACTTGGTCTAGCCAAACCATAGCTCCTTTCAACTTCCCATTTATAACCTCAGAGGAAGAAATCTATTAGACAGCACTAAGAATTTGAAGATTCCCAGAACACTAGAGTCCTCTGGAGCTTTTATCTTCCTTAATTTATTGCTTGTTTCCCAACCATACCTTCATCTGTGACCCCTCAGAAGAAATCATAAATGACAACATTTTCTGAGGGGCTTTTAACACTATTCAGAAGTTCAAGCCTAGCCTGGACTAAGTAAATCCTAACTACGGGGCACTTGGAGCAAGTAGAATTTGAATAAACCCAGTCTTTCCTTTCACATGCCTATGAGATGACTCAGGGAAGATAACAGGAGACCTCAGTGCTAAAAAGCCCTGACCAAGTAGAACTCTCTGTGGCCTTTCAAAATTATGTCTGCTTCCAGGACCATGAAACCCTGAGAGTTTAAAAAACAAGATAGGATAAAGGGATGTTTAAGGCACAAACCCTTTCAACTCATAAGCTGGAAACCCTTGTAAATTCAGACTAAATGCACAGCTTTCAAATCCAGTCTCTATGTGTCCTCCCTCTCTCACATACATGCATTCAGATGCAGATGACTGAGAATGGATTATGGCTTAGTCCCACTATGACTTTTGCTGAATGAAGCATACTCCCCCCTCGCCAACCTGGTTCAAAGAGTTCCTTTAGTTTCCTAGTGTGGAGACCTAAAGGAGATGTCCTGACACCGTAATAATACCTGCTTTTGTGGCAATTGTAACTTCAGTACTTGGGAAAGCAGAAGTAGAGAACAGAGGAGTGAAAGGAGCTTGAGGCTGTGGCAGGAAATGGCAGCAATGTTTTCTTTGGAGGGAATTAAGCTGGGCTTGGATCCTGCTGTCCATTAGGGGTGGCTGCATCTGTTGCAGAGCTTTCAGTCAAACTCTCTGTCTCCTCAATTACCTGGTACCCCTTCTTCCTGTACTTCTGGTTACCATAGATGGCCAGGGCAATGACAGCTGCCAGTGCCGTGGTGACCCCCAGTGTGATTCCTGCAGCTTCCCCTCCTGACAGACCACTGCTGTCCCCGTGGATTACTGTCATAGCTCTGCGCAGCTCCAGGGGCTCTCCCAGCTTCCACTGGTGGGTCTGGGGGTCCTTAATCCAGGATCTGGCCGTCTCACTACTGGTCACTATGACAGTGTTGGTGACAACCTGGCTCATGAGGGGTGGTCGGCTGTAAGGTGGGAGCCTAACAGGGTGCAGGGACCCTTTTGTAAAGATTCCAGCCTTCACACAGTAGGACACTTGGCATCCATCACTGATGAGGGCTAGCTGTTGGCTGAAGCCCCCAGGACACTTTTTCAAAGATGGTGTTCCTAGGTCCCTGGCTGTGGTAGAATTCACCAAGGGGTTTCCCACTTTGCAGCTGAAGAACCCACCGAAGGGGACTGAAAACTTGTACCCTACATCATAATCCAGAGAAACACATACCTTGAGACTCTCAAACAGGCTCAGTGGAATGTAGCTGGTGGGACACGACTGTGCATTTGTCATGGGGTTGATGTTCTTGGAACTGAAAAGTCCTCCAAAAAGAAATCCCGAGTTTTCAGGTACTTGACCACTGGCCGCACACCAGAAACTCCTAAATTCAGCCCTGGCCACTCGGAACACATCTTCACACACTGTTTTGCAGAAGATTTTGAGGGTACACTTCTTTTTACATTCCAGGTGATTGTAACCCTCCTCATGGATCTGAGACAGCAAATGGACAGGGGAGTAGCCAGAGGGGCAGGAGAAAGCACCAGTGAGTGGGTTCTTCTGCTCCAAGTTTGGGCAGAGGGCATTCCCTGACAGTTCAATGCACTCCTGATAAACTCCACCAAAGGTGTAGTTGGTTACTTTCCCATCGCATGAGCCATCATCATCTGTATTGGCTTGAAAATTGTAGTTGGGGGAGTTGACATTTGTGCAGCCTGGGTGGGTGTTAAAGAAGTAATAGCGTTTTACAGCACTCTCCACTGTCTTAGACAGCTTCTTGACCATGGGGCCTGGCAAACCAGGCAGATTGTCAGGCTTGATGAAGAAATGGAGGGGCAAGCCTGCACGGTCTACTGCCACCAGGTGGTTGGTGATGCCCTTCTGCCAGGTTTCTAAGGTGATGCCTGGGTAGAATGGAACCCCTCCAATGCTCTGCACCCTGGAGTTGGTTCGGTTATCAAGATAGCTCTTGGTCAATGAATTCTGGGAGGAATAGTTTGTCTCAAATTTAAAGTTCACGATATTCAAGAAGGTAACCCCAGCAGAGGCAGTCACAGTGCTGTGGCTGTTATCATTGTTCTGGAGGAAGGAGGACCTTATGTGATCCTCCTGAACCAGCACAGCTCCCGCATCCATGCTGGTGATCACATGTGTGCCATAGTTGAGGACCAAGAGTTCTGCCAGGTAGGTGGCCATCTTTGTCTGGTTTTTCTCTAAATGATCACAGATGTTCATGAGCTCCTTCTTAAACCCCAAGCTGAATTCTGAGATTGGGCTGTTTTTCACTGTGTAAACTACATTTCTTACTTGAACCCTGGTAGTTACAGCTTGGTCCTTTACTTGAAGCGTCTTCATCCTTTGGAACTCAGCTGAGAACTTTCCATTGACTTTGGAGAAAAGGGAAAGCTCTGTGTTGATAGAAAATGAGGTGGTGCTCTGGTAGTTATCCCAGGAGTCCAGGATTTCTGAGTTCATATCCAGGTTGCTCTCCTTCTGGGCAATGGTGAAGACTTCATCAGGGATGATGTACTGTCCATCCTCTGTGGTCTTACAGTTGGCGTACGTCAGCTCCATCACTCGTCCCATGTCTATATTTCGAAGATTATCCCAGCCACCTCCAGGCAGCACTTCTAAGACAGGTAGATTTAAGGCATCCTTGCACTTTTGAAATCCAGCCTCACTCTTCTCTCCCAGAAGCTTATCTCTTTCAGCACATGCTACCACTGTCCAGAGGAGGACTGCAGCCTGGAAGCTGTTCATAGTGTAGACAGTCCTAGTCACACACCAGCCCCAAGCTTCCACCAGCAAGCCTGAGGCAAACAGAAAAATGGGAAAGAAAGCAGTTGCTGAAATAGAAATTTCTACACTTCTCCTAAAACTACCAGTTCCTCTTTATGCTGTTCTGATTTCAAATAAGGAAATGAAAGTTTTATGGACTATTAAAGACCATTAGAACCTACTAACAATTATTCTATACTGGGTATGCAAACACATACTCTTTACAGTTCACTCTCCTGTGTTCTCTACCCCGCATTTCCTCTGCAGTGGTGAGGGTCCAGTAAAAGTGTAGGTCCAGACCTTACCTCTTCTCTATCAGGAGAATTCTCTTCCAGCTTTTGTTCACTTGTTTTGACTTATTTCAAAATTTGCCTGACTGCTCTTTTGTGGGATTACATTGCTAGTTTCTTTCTACTGAAAGGGCAGAGGTTAGTAGCAATCTTGTCCTTATTGACATACTCTGCTTCCAAACACATGCAATTCTGTGTCAAGGACAAATCTTAGATAGCCCATTGGCACAGGAGGGTGGAGGCTGTCCCCTGAGAAGAAAAGAGTGAAAAAATCTCAGATACGTGTTTTGTGAGGTCTCATTGTTACAAGCCCTCATGGTCCTGGTTTGGAGACTATCTGGAGCTGAGCTGAGGGGTCTGGAAGAGATTTCTGTTCGCAGAAGAGGCAGGGGAACCTCAGTCTGAATTGTCCTAAGCATTCTGTACGAGGGTGAGGGCCCCCACTCTGGGCTGTTGGTTCCTTTCAGACAAAAGCAGCACTATAAATCACGATTTGTGAAAAAACAAAATAGCCAGGAAGTATATGTGTATTTGTCTATCTTCTCCATGTGTGTAATTTTTAATGAGGATAACTTTTTTCTTACCTTTAGCTTTGTCATACCGTTATTAAGTGTATGTAGTCAGCCTAGATACATGTAAAGAACGTTGTTGCTTATGATTCAAATTAAAAATGTTAAATTCATTTTTTGTATCATTAGGAGAACATAGTTTTATGAGTTTCTTATTATTTTTATTTTATGTGTTTGAGTGCACTGCCTGAATGTATGTAAGTACACCCATGTCATGCAATGCCTGCAGTGGTCAGAAGAGGTCATCTAATTCCCCACAACTGGAGTTGGATGGTTGTTAGCCACCATATGGGTGCTGGGAATCGAACCTGGGTCTTCTTTAAGAACAGTAAGTGCTGTTAACTGCTGAGCCATCTTTCCAGTTTTATGAGTTTTGTTTTCTCTTTCTTTACTCTTTTTGTGTGTGGGGTGGGGTGGGGTATGATGTTAGGTTCTTTAGACCTATAACTTAGATGTTTTCTGGATCAATGATAAAATACCAGAATTAATGGAAGCCCCACTATATTGGTTAGTTGGAATAAGCAAATTATGTCTTTGTACATTTACTGGCAGCTAGGGAATCTATAGCAGTTAATGATGCTTCATATTACACCACAATGGCTCCCAAAGTCATGCGATGACCAACATGCAAAGTCAAGACTAAAAGTCACATTTTAACTCACAGGTTAAAGTTATCACCTGTATGCAGTTGAGAAGTACTTGTAGAAGGCCTGTTGCTGATCTTCACAGACTGAGTTTCATTGATCACTATTCAAACCCTAATAGTGTTCCTTAAATCCAGAAATGTCTTACTGCAGGTCTCTTGATACCACAGTACCATGCTTAAGGAAACTGACTTCTACCAGCCTCCAAAGTGGAATGAGTTTGTGAACAGTCTAAGCTATCCTTAGCTAAAAACCAGCTACTGCAAAGAATGTCATGGTTAATTCATAATTAGATAGTTATATGTTTATACCTTAAGAGAGGGAGACCAGAATTAGAAAAATGAGAGTTTAACACCCTTGAGTACTTGCGATAATTCAATATCTGCACTCCTCAAACTGCTTCACTTGTGCTCTTGGAGACATGTTGACAATTCCTTAGTCCTTGTTTTCTTTTCTAGACCCTGTTGAGGGTCGTGGAGGTGGCTCTGTGGGTAAAATGCTTGTTGTGCAAGTGTGAGCCCCTGAGTTTGGATCCTTAGAACCACCTAAGGTGAACATAGCATGCCCGTGGCCCAGCACTGGAGGATTCTGGGAGCTGCTGGCCAGTGAGTCTAGCCAGAAGGGCGAGAGTCAGGTTCAGCTACATATCCAGCCTCAAAAAACTAAAGAGAAGTGCTTCAGTAAAGACATCATAATGTCAACCTTTGACTTTCACTTGTGCCTGCATGGGTGAGCGCATCTGCAGGTACACCTGTACATACATACCACACACACACACACACACACACACACACACACACACACACACACTAAAACAATAGATCCTGTTGAAACCTCATTCTCCTGAAATAAGAGCACGAGTAAGGTGAATATAAACAATTCTACATTAAAGTTTTTCTAAATTATTAAATATTTGATTGTTCTTTTTTCTTTTGCTTCAGTTTTCCACTTCATATTAACCACATAACAACTCAAAGATAACATTACAAAATATTCTACAGCCAACACAATTATATCAAACAATTTTATGAGAAATTCTTACATAACCATGATGTATGGAAAGGATAATATGCCTTCAGCATGCCCCAGATGTGGTCAAATACAGGACTAGAGGCTCCAGTGGCAAACCATCCATAGTAGTTGTATCTAGTTGGCAGCATTTATTAAATGTCTGTTTTGCTCTTAATTTTATGTAGGTTTTTTGGTTTGCTTGCTTTGCTTTGGTTTTGAGTTTTCGGCAGTGGGCATTTCTTACTTACTTGATTTATGTTTTCACTGAGCATCTATTAAGTACCAAATAACAGTGGGTAGCACTGCTAACCCCCAAAATACATATCTTTAAAAAACAAATTAATTTTGGCAGTTTCATATGCCTGGAGTGGTTGAGAGCCTATGGACTCTGTAATGCCTTTGCTCAAGGAAGTTCTAGTTTCACTTCATGGGAAAGAATGAAAGAAGTGAAAACAGCAGGAATTTGGGGCACCACCTAAATTTGCATGCCAGGGCTTGAAGGTGACTTGGAATGGGCAGATGTGAGGAAACAGGTACAGGATTTTACCAGTGAGTCTTACCCTTACTCTTCCTGTTTAGTCCTTGTACCAACAATTCACTCTATTTTGTTCTTGTCCTGAAATACAGGTGTAATCACATATTCTCTCCAGATGGCCACCCTGGGGAGTAAGGGACTCTGGTTAACCACTGAACTCTGGCCTCTAGCAAAGAGAGGCAGTTCTTCCATAAATGGTATGCTTCTGTGGTGCAGAAAAGTAATTTCACTTCCTCCAACAAGAAGCTAGAGGGAAGTCACACATCTGCTTTCTTTCTCAGTTTGAACATGTGCAAAACTTCTGATGCGGTGTCATGAGGAGCTAAGTCATGATTCATGCCCAAGGTTCACTTCAGGTGTTTTCCCCATCTGCATTTCACCAGTGGTCTGGCATGGTTGCATTAACAAGGATCATTCCAATTTGTATATTCATCAGGAATCTAGGAGACCAGTCTAAAACCTGGCATGGAAGCCATTGGGATATGGACCAGAGAACTATGATTTTTGTAGACCCTGGGGTAAAGTGTCAACATGTCAGCTTTCCATGGAGGATGCATCAGTACACAGAACACAGTGACAGTATTTTTGCTTCTGAATAGTAGATTCCTAACCTGATATTCTGAGAATTGCTTCGTCAGCTCAAAGGAAGTTCTTCCCAGAAAGATTGTCTGTCTACTGGCCACAAAAAAAGAAAGAACCCAGTGGTTTCATGCACGCTTTTAACTTGGAGAGTAGAAACTGAAGGCCCATGGGAAATATTGTTATAGTCATATTCAAAGCTAGGCCAGAATTTGACAGCACATTACTGTGGATTGTCCACTCTCCCCTTTCTTCTCACTTTGCTTCATTCTTTTTTGTTTTATCAGCTGTTCCCTCCCTGCTCATTTTCCTCTTTGGAAATTTCAGTTTGGTAGACATACATCCGTGGTTTAAAGGAATATATCCACTATATTAAAATAGAAGGAAAGATTGATGTGGCCTCTTGATGCAAAAACATAGCTCAAAGAGAAAAAGAGAGTTTATTCTGGAACCAAATATAAGTTACCAAGGCCAGGGAACACAGATTTAGGTTACTCTAAATACTGTGTTCCTATATGATAACAATTTCATGAAGTTTTTATAGTAACAGAACAAGAAAAGTTATAAATCAAGATGTTTTTAAAAATACATTGGTGGGAACATCAGGTAGTGGATTACAGGAAAGCAGAGAAATCTTGGCTGTAAGCTCCTGATGCTATTTGATGGTATTCTTAGCCTTTGGATTGCAGGGAGCTAGGGGTCTCTTTTACATTCCAAAAAGGTTAATTTTTGGTAGTCATGATTATGTTAGGTCAAACACAGAGGTGAACAATGAAAGGGTGGTAAAGTTCTCGAGATAACTCCAGATAATTTGTCTCTGGATCTGTAACATTTTAGTGGTTTACAGTCACAAAGGTTCTAATCAGTCAGTCTTAGAGAGTCGATAACCCAGGTGCAGTTTCCTCCCCCCCACCCCGGGAGCTTCAGTCCACACTTTCCCCTTTTGGCCAAACGTCACATTTTTACATGAAGAAATCTCTGGGTCACATCAGTCTCTAGCCATCATGATCCAGATCTGATTTTTTAAAATCTTATTTTACCCTTAATATTTTGACAGCATTTATATGTGATATAAAAATAGGAGTATTATACCTATAAAACAATAAAAAACACAGTATATATATAGCCTAAACACGTAAAGGTAGTAGATGAGATAAACATGTATTTTAACCAACCAAAAATATTAAAAATAATTTTTTGATCTATTTTTATTTTGCCTGTGTGTGAGTGCACCTATGCCTTCAGTGCTTGCAGAGGCCAGAAAGGGACACTGGGTCCCTGAAACTGGAGTTATGGATGGTTGTTAGCCACCATGTGGTTGCTGGGTACTGAATCCAGGTCTTCTGCAAGATCAGCCAGTGCTCTTAACCACTGAGCAATCTTGCCAGCCCCCCCCCCAGTCTTTTAAAACACATGACTCTCAGTTCCCCCCATGACTACAGTTATTTGCACTCTACAAAATGTTTTATTTGATGTTTGTAATATTTGAACTAATTTATTATATTTCAATTTTAATTTTCTATGACCAGCTTGATTTTATAGCTACAATCCTTATAAGACATAGATTACTTTAATTTTAGGAATGATTGATCTTTAATATCTGAATCATTGTAACTATACTTTGTGGGTAATAACTTGATTTCTCCTACTGTCTTGGTATTGTGCCAGATTTTAGTTTGGGGAAGTAAATGGAAAGTCAC